CTAAGTATCCAAACGTCTTTATATGACTTGAATGAGTGCTTGTGGGATGCGATGAGGGGTCGCCTTCTGACAAATGTGGGGAGTCTGTCTCTGTTGTTTAAGCGGTTTCGGCTGAGCGCGTAATTGTCCAACAATTAAGTCTTGATTAGGTAAACAAATCTCGAACAAAAACGTCAACGTTCAGTTTGCAGTCTTCATCTAAAGAGTTATCATCACGACGTGATTCCTTCTTGGCCAAATTACTATTGCACTGATTTGGAGCGTAGGTGAAGATACCGAACGATTGTCGTCTATCGTGAATGCTGTTGCTTCTGTACGAGCCTCGAACTTAAGCGGACCCAATTGTTCGGCCTCACCTTTGCGATAACACACACTATTTGCTTCACGGCCGCTTTTTGTTGCCACCGTAACCTAGTTGATATCTGTACATGTGTTCGGCTAGTGACGTCAACTGGCTACGTGAGCTCAGCAGACATTGTTATCGGAAGTTTCCAGTGTACGAGACGAAGATCCATGCCAACGAATGGCAATCAGAAATACCCGAAATTATTGACTTCAAATCAATATAAGTAGGATATATGTTTGCGTATGATGCAGAGGCGAACAGAACCACTTCATCATGACCAGCGTTTCCCACCTTGCAGCTACCTCAGCTGTTACGTGTTCCGATGGAGACGGAACTTCGAACTCAGACTATCGTGTGTTCATTCAGGTCTGAGTATGGAAGCTGCGTCCTGTAACAAGCGATTGTGTTCGTATGATTGGGCTGCATTTGTTTCATTCTCATCGTCTTTCATCCCAGTCTCTTGTCGAAACATCTCATACTCGTTGGTTATAGGCTAGAAAAAGGACATCAGCAGTACGCCGATACGCAGTACCGACGCTTCGCTTTCGCGCAACCACCACCGGTCTCATATGGGCTAAGGATACTGCGAGGGTCACCCGGTCCCTACGCAGGCTAGAACCCGCGCCCTCAGATTACAAGATAGACTTGTGATCCTCTTAGGCTACGGGCCGGCTGGTTATAGGCCATCCTTTATCTGTAACCCTTTACAATTACGAACTGCATATACTGGAGTTTGCAGTTGCATTTATTTTTCTCACATGGATGCAAACTGTCGCAACACTATCGATCCATCTCGAAGCTGCTCGTACTCACGTGTTTTGACCGTTTCTGAACCGTCAATGTCAAATCTGTTTCCCAGTCACTCTTATCGACGCACGGTATGGGTTTTCCTATTTTTTATATTGACCAACTGCAATCTTCCACCAAATTCATTAACGAACAAAGCTCACTGCCTAGTTTTTTTCGACTCGCACCACAGAAGAGACCATTCTCTAGACGCACGCGAGCAACCTTACAATGTGGATTCTCAGTGTCCAACGGGTTGTACTCAACCCTCTACCAGGCTACGGGTCGGCTGGTTATAGGCCATCCTTTATCTATAACTCTTTACAATTACAAACTGCATACACTCGAGTTTGCATGTCGTCATCCTGTACCTCGTTATCGCCTTATTCAAATCTTTACCGGCTGCTGACTGGATCTCTTTCGCCATAATCATTCACCCACATATTGCCTCAGATACAAAACTGACAAATTCACTAGCCTTACTACGATGTTATCTGATGGAACACTGGTTATTTTCCCCATCAAATAGGATCACACGTTCGCTTAGTCAATATTGTTGCAGACGGACCTGAAAACCAGTGGAAAAACCCGCACTCATTTCGAAAAGGGATGCATTTTACTACTTGCCCCTATTAGGCAAGGATATGTCATCCTCCTGACCACACCTGACAGTGACACTTTCTCAACCGAAGTGAATGGTTGTGAAGCCGATGTGATCGGCGCCGATCACTCCTGCTTCTCTGCATGCAACACCCAGTGTTTACTGCTACTCAACTGCTCGTTACCATGGCCATGAACGACACATTGCATAGTCTCCGGAGGCGAAGCTGTATGCATTGTAGCTGTGCATCCGCGACTTTGATTTACAGAGTTGCGTTTATTTTTCTCACATGGATGCAGACTGTCGCAACACTATCGATCCATTTCGAAGCTGCTCGTACTCACGTGTTTTGACTGTTTCTGAACCGTCAATGTCAAATCTGTTTCCCAGTCACCCTTATCGACACATGGTGTGGGTTTTCCTCTGTTTTATATTGACCAACTGCAATCTTCCACCAAATCCATTAACGAACAAAGCTCACTGCCTAGTTTTTTCGACTCACACCACAGAAGAGACCATTCTCCAGACGCACGCGAGCAACCTTACAATGTGGATTCTCAGTGTCCAACGGGTTGTACTCAACCCTCTCTACCAGATTCTCCGACCAATATCAGCGCGCAATGTCGCTGACTACAGCCGAGTTCTGGGGTATTTGTTAGAGCTTGCCCTAACTGCAGTGCACGCTACACTTGCAAGCCGATTGCGTTCGTGTGATTTCGCACCCATTACCGTATCCGTTTTTTTTTCAGTCTGTCACCGTCTTTCCTTCCACACTCTCATGTCCCGTCTCATTAGTTTTCAGGTCATGCACTGCGTTGAGGACAGTCTTTTAAGGACAGTCGATTTATCGGCATACGTTTTCCGATAGACAGACCAGCTAGAACTACATTTGAGAGGGGAAGGGGGCTTTTGTTGCTACTCTGTAGTCAAGAATACCAACATTTCTCTTTTTTGTCAAGTGTTTCTATGACAAACGTGTGTACAGAACTGAATTCATCGTCTTCATAGACCTGGGCCTCGGAATTGCGCACATCAGCGGTTAGAGGCTCGTCGTGCGTGGCACTGTAGTTTACATATTCTCTTTTCGCTGTTCCATCTGAGGTTTACAGTTAACTTTTTTAATTCATTTTCTTTCCTGCCCTTCCCTTTTCCTTATTTTTCATTATTGTTACCTTTGTGTCCATGTAAACGCAATTGACGACATCGGAATTCACCTCACTTCGTCATTGTACTTATAAACGAGCAACACTTTACGCAACTAACATTTGTCCACTCCTTTAGCTACACACTGCAAGACGCATAACTCCATTTTGGGCAGTAAAAAAGGAAAAAGAAAGGCATCAGCAGTAAGCCGGTACGCATTGCCGACGCTTCGCTGCTGCGCAATCACCACCAGTCCTACGTGGCCTAAGGATATTGCGAGGGTCGCCCGGTGGTATCCTATGCATGCTCGGAGCCACGCCTCCGAATTACAAGGCAGACCCTGCCATGGGCCAGCAGTGCCGTGCTTATTTATTGCGCTTATCCCGCAAAATAAACCTTTCACCTAAATACAGGGATGTGCCTTTCCCTTCCTCATTTTGTGTACAGCGCTCTCCCACTTTCCTCTTGACTGATTTCATTTTCGATGATTCTCATCAGGCTATTACACCACAGCAAATAAGAATACAACTAACACAGGGCATTTAAATGCAATAAATCAACGAAAAAATTGTGCAACTGACCTTCGTGTCAGCTTCACTTCTAAGTCAATCGTGAGCCAACAATTCAAAGAGAAGATACCAAATTCGAATATTTCCTTCTGTGTGTACCACTTTTCTTGCTCGTGTCGAGTGAGTTATCTTTGTATGACGACCAGGCGACTTTCTAAGGGACTCCGGGAACATTGGCTGACGTGGCTGTATACCGGTGTGAGAAAGACTGTAGCTAGTGCGATTCTGTGGCACTTGACCGACTCAAATCACAAAATCAACATACGAGAGGCCTTCCAGCTAATCTACCGGATATCCGGACGCCACACGCCAGCACTCTAATGTTGCCTATTAACGACAGCAGAGGCGGTCGCTATTCGGCTCCATAATCCCAACTTACGCACCCAAAAGAAGTTTGTCTAGACTCTTCAATAACCCTGGCCTCAAGCCGTCCCATGTAACCACGATGTCTTTAACCCTTCCATTAATGTTGCTCTAGCCAACAACATCACTTAATTTTATTGTCCGGGTAATTCGCTTTATTGATTCATCGCATTTGAATGCGCTGTGTTAGGTATATTCCTATTCGCTGTAGTGTACTAGCCTGATGAGAACCACCGAAAGCAAGTTTGTTCGCCTAGCTGTCTTTTGCCATTCATGTCACCTTCGGGATTATTTTCTCAGTTGAAACAGTCCAAGGATTCCACTGTGTTTAGAGAACTTGACCAGTACGTTAGGTTCAGCAGGGTTAGCAAAAGCGACAATGCAGTTTTTGAATGAGTGTGTTTTTTCGTTGTGAATATCCCGAGCACTATTGGAAGATACTCAGCCGTAATGGAGTTAATCTAACAAATACTACTTTGAAATGTCACACTCGTTCAGAGATACGGTTGTTTCTCAAATTGATGAGCTTGACCGTATCCGGTGCATCTGCTCCGATGCACTGAGTGAATTGTGTACTGAGGAATACAAGTAGCTTTCATCCTTTGTTCAACGAATTATATAGCGTAGCAAGTGAAAGTACGAATAGCCTATGGGATTATTTTCTGACTTGTTTTCACTTTCTTCATGACCTTTGTGTTAATCTGACTGAATCACTATCTGAGTGAATCTCCTACTCATCAATAATCACTCCATTGTCGTCAGCTTCGGGCTATTGTCCTTGCTTAGCCCTAACGCTGGCGTTTGGCCAATTTCTTCTCTGGGGTTTGATCCCTCATCAACTTTGACCTTTTTTGTGAGCATTGAACACACTTGAGTCGAAGCAACCACCCCATATCTTTGCACGGTAGCCAGCTGCTTGTGAACGTTAGTTGTTGTCCCTGAGGGTTTGATTAGAGCATTCAGGCTTTACACTCGCTTCCCCTATCTTCCCTCTTATCAATCTTCGTTCCATAGCTCATTGTGGTTGTGCGGCAGCGGTGCATCAGTTCAAACGACTGATGTACTGCAGTTTTGTTGTTGGTATTGATTATGACGATGATGAAGCACTCGTTTTTTACTTTTTTGTTTGCTTTCCGCACTGGTACCGCCAGCTTTCACTATTCCACCTTGAATCCCCACTGTTTTCTTTCAGTCTTTCGACCAGTATAGGAGCTCTTCCTGAACTTTGCTGATCCGCTCTTGTGATCCATTTGCAACTACAGTCTCCTCCAACCGATATGCCTCATCTGTCAAAGTCCAGCTTCGATGTCCTCGTTGTCATCGTTCAGGGTTGACGTTTTTATATTTCACTCTCCGTTTTCATTCCCCAACATCTCGTGCTCAGGACGAGCATCTTTCTCAAGTCTTTGTGAACAGCTTCGAAGTCGTATCCGTAAAACCCCTAATCCCCTATTTTACTGCCCAAATTTTACTGTGATGAATTCTCACTGAACCTGCCACATGTAAATACCTATGCAGTTCCAATTTCAATCAGAGTAGTAAGGATCTCTTAGTTGTACGTGACTCTCGCCATTATTTTTTGTTTTCACTCTCGATACCTTTCTCTATCCACTCAGTTACTTCCTACCGTCTGTTTGTTGAAACTTCGTGCATTGTTGCGAGCCCCCGCAACTTCATCGTTTTTCACAATACACGTTCTTTTGGTTTGCATACGGGGGCTGTTGGATATGAATGTCTTCGCGTAGATTCGATTACGTCATTATTGGGTTCACGTTTTGCGATGCGCGATCACACGAAGAGCTCGAGAGTGAATCGGCTGTCCGATCGTAACGCAGGCGTCGTTTTTACCTCCCAGTTCAAATCGAGTGCAGTCAGGGTCAGCGGCTGGTCCTTCGTACCGTCTCTCATGAGCACACACCGACTCGTTTAATCCGAACCATTTTCATTCCGGGGGCCTTTTACTTGGAACTTAACACTTTAACTAGCTTCATGGCAAGCAGTTGCTTAACGTGAACGATACGGCCGACCTTGCTGGCTACTTACCAGTCGTACTACCGGCACTTGATGTACAACGAGCTCCTCAGTGTCAGCTCCTCGTTCACTCACAGTCTGTGTG